AAGGACTTTTGTGGATACAAGAGCGCCAGTGATCGTGGCACCTAGGCATATCCTCTAATGTATCCAACTATAAAGTAGGAGGGTTTCTCGGACCTCATCCAGGAAGTCTAGCACGTTCTACATGTCCAAGTCCACTGGTCGGGTTTTCATACCTCTCTCCCATATCATGGAATGCTACCCGTACTTATCTTCCAACTGTTATCCACCTCAGCAAAACTTCAGCGCCGAGGAATTCTCTCAAGAAACATGCGCAACACATGTCCCAATCCTCTTAGCCTGGTGAATTTTAGTGTTTCATCTAGTGATGTGGTTCGTGTATCTAAGAATCTCCACCCAGTATCAGCACTGCTTATACAGTGTTCCCACCGGATCAGAGCAATGCTACGAAGATATCGTGTTCAGATATCAACAGTCGTCGTCTATCCGTGTTTCTGAAGCACACAGAACGACTTTCTAGACTGCTGTAACATGCATTAGACCCTTGATTGATGAGCAAATGTCATATCGACACCACAGATGACTGAGTTTGGCAAATCCCAAACGATCCTTCTGTATACGTAAAGACACTTTATCCGATATACGACCTCCGGGGAAAATGCATCTGCCCAGATAACAAAACATGCCTACCTGATCTACAGTCTTTTGAGACAATGAAAAGTTTGAACCAACCCAATCGTGTAACAGTATCTTGCACTTTGAGGGTGCCAAAATCACACCGAATATTTCTACGCAGTCCGTCAAGCTGTCCGGAAAAGCTCGCTGTTTACCCGAATGTATATTTAGAAGAACTGAGTCGCCTGTATATTCAAGCTCTGTCACTTTTCCACCCGGGAAAAGTTCAATAACACTAACCTCATCTGACGAAATGACTGTGTCTGGGACCGTATTGATCAATTAGGAAACATCTTACGTTGACATGTTTGACATAAATAATGTGAAAAACATGCTGTCATTCAGGAGAAAGATGGGAAATGTTTATCAAAAAAACATGTTAGTTTGGCGTGCCCAGCATACTCCCCCCTTCCTTAAAATGTGGCCCAGTTTTCCGGTTTTCCGTAGATATTTCTTCAGCGTAGAGTAAACAAAATAGATATGTAGCGGTCCATGCCCATACGACCTTGAAATCCAGGTCACGTATTCTAAATAAATCAAAAGTTTTCCTCCAATGAGGCTACTATTTGCCGTGATTATTCTGTTGAACCTTGTATTCTGCATAGATGCTCGTTTCTTTTCTGCTTTCTTCTATTAGACGGAAACATAACAGACAATTGAGGACATTCATTTATGAAAAACAAAAACCACCCGTGGGGAATCTTACCATCGTCGGTTTGACAATATTCAACATTTAACTAATTTCGAACTTCTGAACTTCAGAGTAATTTGCCATATTGAACAAAGTCACACAATGTCGGTCGCTAACGGATTGCAGCAAAACTAACTTAAATGACATTAATTTCTGTATAATTTTTTTCCACCCTTGTTTTGTGGTATACTACGGAAGTTCAGGAAAGAGTAACTGATTACGAGGCAGCTAGTTCGTCTTGTGAATTTCGACACCAGCTGTCTCCTTCTCACTCACTCACCCACTCACTCTCCCTCGCCCCCTCTCTCTCCCTCTTCTCTCTCTCTCTCTCTCTCTCTCTCTCTCTCTCTATATATATATATATATATATATATATATATATATATATAGCAAGTAGTAAATAAACGCGTGGACAGAATCTTCCCGGAAGCACACAACCGTTTTCGCGGTTGTTGAAGAGTACCCTTTCATACTCCAGACGATTAAGGTTAGATCCTAGTGAAAATACATCATATATATATATATATATATATATATATATATATATATATATATATATATATATATATATATATATATATAGTAGTATATAGTATGTAGACGTGTGGGCGAAATCTCGCCGGAGGCACACGACCGGTTTCCCGTTTCTTGCCGCTCGTCAGGTATGCGTGCCCGGTACTCCTCTGCCCACTCATCTTCATACTTGTGCACTCCGATGTTACATCTTCACTGGGATCTAATTTGAATCGTCTCGAGTGTGATTGGATACTCTTCAATAAAGAGTCCACAAAGGGATCACAATTGTGACTTCCGTTAGTTATTCGCGTCTGGGTCACTGCTAAACTACCGAACAACGAGGCTGCATATGCAAGCGCTCATATTGATAGTAAGTAGTATGTAAATGTGTAGACAATATATATATATATATATATATATATATATATATATATATATATATATATAATCATGCAACTACACCATTAACCGTGGCATCTAGCCATACCACTTAATCTATTCAATCATCTGAGAGGCGAGTCTGGTGGACCCCAACTCGGAAGTCTAACACATCCTACCTGGCTTACTTTACTGGTCAAGGTTTTCACAGCTTTTGCCGTGTCAAGGACTGACCACCTTGACTTACCTATGGACCACTACCTGCCTCAGAGAACAGTGCAGGTCAAGGAAGTCTATCGGTGGGCATATTAGGAGAAATTAACAAACAACAATAAGTGAACTGCCCAGCTTAGATGATTTTTTAGCTCGCTGCTAAAATGTTTGTGTTGGTAAGGAAACTAATGAGGTAAGAGACAGTAGATGATTTATGTGAGAATGAGTGTTTGTGATGGGACTTAGTAGAACAAGTAGAAACATGTTTAATAACATATATTCAGAGAAAATGTGACTGATCATTCAGTATCTTCGAAGAAACCTGTAACAAACGTGTTGGTGTTGGCCTATTATATGTTAGATGAGCTGAGCACATCGGAAAGACGTCTGATAAGTCTGACAAGCTGCGGGGACTCCGAATTTGTCCGTGCTACTTCGCGCTATCTTTGCTGGTTTGGCCTGTTTACATAATGGGATTTCATTTTTTTCACTTCCACGTCAACGTTGTGTCCTTGACGCGTAAGTATAACGCATACGTTTTGGTTTCTTTCCGAAATACCGCTAGACCTAATAAAAACGCGGAATTACGTCAGTTTTCTTATTCTATGAGGAATGAAGTGAGAGGAATCAAACAACATGCGGTTAGAAAAAATTTGGTAAACATCAAACTTGATGGGAAGTTACTTCCTCAAAAAGCAATTTTGAATCATTGTGAGTCTCGTTGATCCTTTTATCTCATCCAACTGTGCTCTGACCATTGATTGTTTCTGAATAGCACGAAGTTATGCCATAAGAAGCGGTCCATGGTGTCCTTTTACGCCTTCGCAAAGTTGGACTCAGATGGAGCATATTGTCATTGGTCGCCGCTGGTGTGGATCAGTCGAAGATTGCCGTTCATTTTGGTCTACGCCTGTGGACTCAGATCACGCCTTTATACCTGCTGGCTCCTGCTTACGTCTCTTCCGTGGTCTTACCCACGCCAAAGCCACCTGTCTCGTACAGCCGCTTCTAGACGATGATCGACGGTCTGCTTTCCGGACTGATCTGTCTACATAGTTGTCAATTCAGCCGGGTGTCCCTGCCCCAGATAAACGCTGGCAACGGATCAAAGAAGCCTTGTATGCCGTTTACAATGACATGAGACTGCGGTTCACGTGGGCTGAGCAAACGATGGATGTCTTCGACATCATTTGCTCTGTTAGATGCTCGCAAATCCATCCCTTCGGATGCCAAATTCAATGAAGTGCACAATTCTCTGAGACGCCAACTGACAAGAACGCAGACAGTGATGGATTACGAAATGTAGAGAAACGGAAAAGGTTTAAAAGCCTCGACCAAGGGAATTGGCAAAGTAGGGTGTGTCAGACTTCCAGGTTGGTATCCACCAGAACCACTTCTTAGATGATTGGAGAGATTGAGTGATATGACTAGATGTCGCGGCCAATGGGGTAGTTGCTTTCGGACTCTTTCGTTGTTTTCGCGATTTACGCTTACTGTCTTGTTTTTGGCTTTGTTTCACTTTTTGCTTCTATTCATTCTGCCTTCTGTTGGAAGCTGCTGCAAAGCAGCAACCAAAAATCAGAGGACATAAGTGCGAGATTGATGGCTGAATGAACTGAAATGAATTGGCCGTTTGATGTCAGTTCAACCATGTTGCAAGTGTCCCATATAAGCTACGAACCGGAGTCTGGAATATGTGACTAGTGGTTTGTTTTACTTTAGGAATCTTGGCTTAATTCGGTAATTGACGATGAGTAATTCAAGCTTGATGGATTCACCTGCTATAGCCTGGTCAGACGGCTACTCAGGAAACCTCAATAAGGTGATATTACCTACGTACGTCATGTTTGCTATCGTTTATGCTCATCCATTTTTACATAAAATATGAAAAATATTTGCAGTCAGACAATTTGACGTAAGACACGCTTTATTCCTAGACGTTATTCTATTGTCATTTATAGCCTGTACATAATCACAGACCGCAGTTTTACGGAGTTACCCAATGTCCTGGATTCATTTTAACTGAAACTAATAAATTGAATTGACATCTCACTTTTGATTGTGGTTGGCGCCCTCGGCAGCTCTGATTTGACCTTCCAAAGTTCAATGCCCATCCATAGCATCGCGAATTTTCCCACCGGAGGCGGTGCTTGTTTAGACTACTTCTTTGTGAATAAGTCGTCTTTCTTTCATGCTATGAGGTGCGTCCCCGTGGAAAACCCCGATCACCGCATCATTAAAGTTCCTCCTAAAATGTTTAGCAAACGCAATCAAGGCCTCTGTGTGTTTCTACCCAAACCGTTCTTAGTTTCAATCATTCTTGTGTGTTGTCGCTGTCTGTGTTGACCCCCTGTCATTTTCTTTAGCTTGCTTGCCAAAGGCTTTTTACTGATTGGGCACTTTCTCGAATGCATTTGTAAGTGTAGTATCATGTCTTACTCTGAATCATTGAAGTTCGTGGAAAAATACATTGTTCTGCATGTGAATTGTTTTGTAGTACTAAACGTTCTGATGACACAAACCAGCTACACTCATCTCTCTCTCTCTCTCTCTCTCTCTCTCTCTCTCCCTCTCTCTGTTCCTCTGGCAGTTTTTATCATTTGGCTACAAGCAGTGAATTTAAATTCACTTGCTCCCCAACTTCAGCGTTTTGTAACTCGGTTATTTCATATCTAGCTAGACCGCTTGTTTCGAAAGAACACCATGTGAACATTGACAGACACAACGTACCGGTTCAATTATTACCGTTTTTCTTTTTTATGTTAACACTACCGGTACCAAAGCATGTAACTAACAGCTGTTCACTTAAAAACGTACTCTTTTCGGACAAATAAAGTGCATCCTGGAATTTAATTTGACTAGGTAGTGAGTATCAAGCAGACAAGAAATAACCGGGGAAATGTGGAGCCGGTGGGGCAAAAGAAATGCGAATATAGAGGACCTGATTCAGTGGAGCTGTGTAGAAACGAACTTCAACGGTAGCATGTACGAGGTTACCAATTTAAGCCTTGGTAAAACAAGGGCGACGTGGTCAAATCGGGACAGATGGCGCCTGATATCAAATCTGAGATATTTTGTAGACGACTTACTAGTAATGTGCTTGCCGTTAATAGGCGAGTGTGCAATGAATGCCAGAAAATCTGAATACTCAGTGCTATGGTAAAGAGAAAATAAAATATCAGAGCAGTTGGAGTGGCTGATAATTAGGTTAAAATGGGGACGTTAGTACGTGAGTTCGGTGAACATGCTGCACGAGTTTTTGAACAGATCTAATAGAATTGGCATAAACGAGGACGACTTCTTCAGTATTTATTAACCAAATGGTCATTCTGCGCTGGCATGGGAGAGATACAAGAGTAGGAGGAAAGGCATTAGAATGGTACCTATGAAAACATCTGAAGTAGAAAGGAGCTTTGAAGAAGTTTGCCCATGGAACCGTTAAGTTGTTTGCGATTGGAAATAATTGTTGAACAATAACTGGGTGCGGGGTGTGCTAACATAGTAGTGCCCCAGAATCTTGTGTAAGTTGAATATTGATGACGCAATCAAAATTTTCACTCTTACTGACAGACTTTTGCGATCTGATGATGGTAGAACTAAATAGGTAAGTGGAGATAGATGATTTTTAGTATAGAGAGTTGGTAAGTTGGTTGGTTAGAATGCAGTACGTTGATGTGATGGGGGGTGGGGTGGAAGTTTGCATAACACAAGTTTTTCCAAATACTTGGAGGACTATTGACGTAATTTCGTTGAAACGTTTAATGCACCGGAGTAATGCGGGTCAGTCACCTGCAGTTGGGAACGTTCTTTTGTGTAAAATATCTGTAAGGGAGTTCAGCTATTCTCGTGGAACTTACCATAAATCCAAAGCCACGAGCTGGGATCAAACCAGCAACCCTCCGAAGAGCAGAAAGTTGCTGGTTCGATTCCGGCGTTGAAATTTCGGATGCAGAAATATCAATAGACTTTCAATTATGTATGGAATCCAGGCTTCTCGGGCCAATAATAAATCCTATATGTATAACTCAATTCCCATTGGATCCCGATCAACCGTATGCTGCTCCGAATTTAATGAAATGACTGACGAGGCCAATACAATGATTGGAACCAAATAATTTGCTGTGTATCGTCCGAATAACGGTTGCGCATCTTTAGATATTCACTCGTGTAATTTGCACTCAGTTGACTGTATGGCAATAAGTCAACTGGTAGTGCATTCGCGCGGTAAGCAGAAAGTCGCCGGTTCGGTTCCAGCTCGCCGCGGTGGACTATAGGATACAAAAATTCAAGTAGGTTTTCCATTGTCTAAAATTTCTGATATTATCGAGGACAGTGTTCCTGCACATTCCTTTAGGATTACTGCTGGTGAGTTGTCTGGACCAGTAATCTTGCATGTTAAAATTTGTGTTAGTTCTCGGGATGCATCTAAGAGAGAGAGGAAATCTAAAACTGTTGTCTTGGTGGTCTACCGATGAGATGAGTGCCATTTATCGTTGTTCTACAGCTGTGGAGCACAAAAGGTAAAAGCTTACTTGAATTTACGCTATCCATCTGCGTAAGAATTCTTACTGAACGAGCGTATAGTGAACTGAGCATGTGCAGCTCCACTTTGACAGACTTTGAAAGCACTCTGACTGCATTACGCTCTATAGCCTTTAAAGTCCGTTTAGTCTGGCGCTAGCTGTAGTTTCAGATATGTGAAGAAGGTCTGTTCATCGCTGTTGTAGTTGAGAACTCGTCCCGTTATCTCGACTTATGTGAACGGTTGTTTCCAAGTCGCCGTTTCGTAACCACATGGAGATGTCGAGGAACAGGAGTTCCGAGCCGCTTACTTCTCTAGCAAAGGTTATTTCGAATATCATTGTGTTCAGATGTTGATGAAATTGGTTTAGTTCAATTTTGACAGTATTTTGAAAGTACCACCTTACTGATCCAAAAGTGTGTGTTGATTTTGCTTTGCAGAATCATGTTCTTATTTTATTTTGTCTGTTTTTCCACTCCACACGAGCCAGGTTGGGTCTCGTTGACATTCGCTGTCTTTCCTTCTGTTGTGGTTTTCAAGAATGGCTCGGTTCACGCCGGTCTTATCGATTATGCTGTATATCCAATAGATGCACGGACACTTCGCCACTTATCTGGGTACAGACCTCTGACCCAGTTCGTTTGTGTACACATTGACAGCGCACACACGCACACACTCACACGCACCCTCAGTTCCTTGTTTGACTCAGACCACTTCGTGTGGATCTTCATTTCCTCCATCGATTGAATCTCCTTTTTCGATCCACTAGCCACTCGCTAGCACTCACGCAAGCGTGCATCTGTCCCAACCAGACGGGAGTCAGGCTCAGCTTGTGTATCGTTTTGTCACGCGCACACACCCAACTCTCCTTCTGATTAGTTGCTTTCCACAACAGCTCGCCAGCCTCGTTGTGGTAACACGTGACCCTCCTGTTTGCGATCATTCTTTCGATTGCTTCCCGCTTAGACACAGCAAATTGCTGTCTTGTTGAACTCAGTCACAGCCGCGGCTGTCTTGTTATCCCCTGGCATGTTGTGAATCATTGTTTTAATTACTCTTGTTTCTGAGGGGGCATTGCATTTCAAGGCCATTGGATAACGTTAACAACTAGATAACTCACAACCCAAGATTTGTACAATTTATTAAATTAATCATTTACGTTAATAACGGTATCGTACCACCAGACAGTTTCGGTTTTTGTCGGACTGGAATCGGGACTTTACGCGCAACTCCATTGTTTGATCAAGACCGGGAATAGTAATCGTCAGACAATCTAATTCCGTGTGCGGAATTTGAACCAGGAGTGACGATTCCATTGCGGATTCTCGCGTCTTAGTGTACTTTGTTTCGTGGAACCCTAAATGGGTTTCAGTGTCAGGACTGAGTGAGATTAGGAGTGTATCAAAATTGATGAGCGATGCGGTGCATTCAACGGGGAAAATGCGGCACACAAATGCGACAGACTCAGTATGTTATCGGATGGCATCACCAATCCGTCTGGTAGGATGCAGTCGTTGGAAGCTATCTGCTGCCATCTGCCTTAGGGTTTTTGTGAACAGTGAAGTCACACTGATAGATATTCCCAGTATGAGTTTTCTGACCTACAAAGGGAAGCAATAGAACTTTGGGCTATTTTGTGATTGAGATAGTTGCGGGAAACAGAAAAGATACTCGACCAGTTGATAATCCGAAGCCGTTGCGGATGCGAAGATTGGCTTGATCGGTACCTCTAGTATATTTATATAACTTATATATCATATTCTATGTATAATATATAGATTTACTTTGTTCCCCGGTTTAACTGATTACTTAAAATAACCGATACCTAACTCCATCTCCACTGGTAATAAAATACTCAGAGTCATTGTCTTCCGAAGAAAGATAAATTTCCAGTTGTGCTATGTTATCCGCAAGGAAAAATAAAATCTACCGTGGACGGTAATTCAGTATGGTAATTAAGATCTTTGTAGTGATTGAAAGATCAGCGATACAGCTGAGGGGCAAGATCAGCGTGGGTTCAAAAATTTGCTTTCGCAGAAATATTGGTGCGTAGCATTGAACTCGAGACAATACGCTGAGCCAGTAGCCGCCAATGCTCTTTATATCGATGATTGGTGCGGCCAAACAGTGTATCCAAAATGCAAATTATCCACTGCAGGTCGTCTTATTTCTAACATTTATCTGTGCTGTATTATCTGCCTTATCCAGTTGCTTACGATAAAAAGAAAAATCGAAAATGTCTTAGCTTTTAGGGCATTTAAAATAGTTAACTTCCACTTGATTCAAGTCAGTAATTACGAAGTTTTAATTTTTGATTTTATTCCGAGCACATGCTTGCCCTAGGTTGAAGTGGAAGAAAAGTGGGTCAATTATTCAAAAGGTCCACTGCACTCTCAAAGATGACCAACAGTAATGGCCTTGAAATCCTTAGACGAGAGCCGTAAATGAGGTTTGTGTAATGAATCGGTTCTGTTAATTTCGTAAATTCACCATCAGCGGATCGGAAAGCCAATATTTGAAATTTTATTATACTCGTTGATTAACTGGAAAATCGTAGCCGACTCAATACTTACGAGGCCTGGTCCAGAAAAAAAAACATCTGTCGCATTCACACTGATACCGGCTGGTGTTCGACCGTGAACAGAACGAAGAATGATAATGACATCTATTCTGATGGACTTGACGGATAGTCACACCCTTTGAAAAATTTGATAAAGGCTTGTACGTTCATCCAAAAATGATGCACAGCGCTTCTTCGTGTAATGACTGTGGTGAGGTTTGTTGACAGCTTCTGCTAGTTCTTTCGAGGGTGACCCTGATCTCTGTGTAATTGAGGGAGAACACATCAAAATATACCATCGGAACTAAGATAGGACCGTAAGATCTGCATCGGACCAAATATGTCTCTTTAATGTTCAAAGCCGTACTAGAAGTGGAGCAACTTATTATCACAAGGAGAACCATCTATCAACGGAAGCTCCCATGTCGGAAGTGCAAGCATTTCTATGACCACTGAAATGGAACATGGTTGCTAAGGCTTAGCCAAAAATAGGGCAAAAGAATTTATCAGGGCCCATAAACTTTGGAAGTAGTTTAACTGACCCAAATAATGAAAGCTGACGGTCTCAGTGTGATTCAAACTCACTCATGAATCGGTGGGTGACGTCCAGAAGCTAGACGTTCACGCTTTTTCGTACATACTGATGCATTACGTTCACAACAGCTGATGAGCCTCAGTCAGCAATATTTTGGCTTCTCGATTGAAGAGCTACTTTCCACATTGGCGATATCTCCCACTTTACAGAAATGCTTTAGAAGTATACATTAAAATGCCACATTTGAAAGGGTCTCACTTTGGAATGTCTACAGTCCATTATATCCAATAGGTAACTGCACATGGGGCCACACACGAGTCTGACTGGCACATCTTGTGACGAACGAGGAGTGAATTTCCACACTCAGTTTTACATCATCAAATGACACTGTGATGCTGCCATTTATCGAGTCTATTTAAGGAAAGCTGGTCAAAACAAGGCTTCACTTTTACTAAAGTGACCCAATGATAATCATAAAAATGTCCTATTGGAAGAGCTGTCAAAATTGGACCTGCTACTGTGAACTCGTCATCAGTAGATTAATTGTGAGTTCAACATGTAGCTGCGCTCACGTCTCTTTCAAAATTTTTCTATCAAAACAAAATATGCTTGAATTTGTAAACAGTCTGATATGATCCCGATGAACATGAACTACAAGTCTGAATCAGTCACAACCTATAAAATGTGAAACCAGTATTATATGCTACAGTAGATTGATAGACAGATTACATTTTATCAGGGATGGTCGGTATCAGTCGAATCGTACACGGTTGCAAAGGATGACATAATAAATAACGCTAATGGTGAATGAGTGTGATTTTCTGACATCTCATACTATACAGCTGCGAAATCATTTGTGCAACATAAAGGATATCTATAATCTGCTTCACGAGAATACACCAGATTGAAATATTTTAGTGCATTGTCATATATTTGTTCTCTGGAGAAAACCTCAGAAAAACTGACAAATGACAACATCCCTTCTACTGTTGAACAGATCATCGTGCACCAAAATGACACGGATCCAGTTATCCTGGTCGGAGAAATAAGAATGTGTGGTATGAAAGACCTAATATGCAGTTAAACTTTTGAGAATCGCAAACGGGTACAGCAAGTGTCCATGAGCTTTTGTCGAAAACAAAATCAAACAGTCGACAACCAATGGGAACTTTACAGAAAATGTTGTAGTTCAAGAGGCGTCATTGAGAATATGATTGAATGAACCAGTGGGGAGACAGCTGAGAACGTTCTTGGATTACTGTAAGAAAAGGAGTTGCACTGACGGCCGAGAAGTATTTATCACTTGGAAGGGAAGCAGTAATTTGTGGAATTTTGGACATTGCGCCTCAGACATTTTCATTCTCCAGAACACATGTGGATAACAATTGATCTTTCGGAGATGGTTTAGGTGAAGACGGTGCTGATATACTGCCAGTTTCATGCTGATTGGATGTTGAGGCTATCTCTTTGCATGATTTCACATTTGGCAACAGACCAGATATGGTGGATTCAGGTCTGTACCGGGCGGATACTTGTGCTTTAAGCAAAGAAAAGTGATTTACACGAGGATCTGTGCCTGGTTCTGTGCTTTGCTCAGCAGCTGGGTTCACTCGAGCACCAGAAAGTTCGCGACAGTAATCCAGTGCAGCCGTGTACAAATCGGATCGTAGAAATCGACAGTAGGAATCCTTTTCCATCAGTGCTTGAATTCTCTTCTGTGATTGGTCAAAAGTATTCCGTGTGACAGAGTCCAGTTCTTTTTCTAACTGAATTCTTGTAGTTGAATCCAAATTGACCTACATGAGATGCAGAAATAGAACAACGAGTGGAAATGAAATTCGAGCAAAATGCTTACTAATATGCCACCGTTTTGAGCTAACGTGTAAACTGAAAGGTTACTGTTACTCCCAGTTGTGGTTAGTAGCATATTCTCTTGGACTTGAGGTATTCACATGCAAACGTATACTCCGGAAGGAGTTAGAAGCGGTTCTTTTGAGTGCACAGTTTATGGATGGCGGCGAAAATGTGAGCAGATTACAGAATATGTAAGTACGATAATGTAAATTCTGAAGGACGGCAGATTTGCTGTTTCACGGAGTGGTTGATAATATACGGTAGCGATTCTACATTAGGTCAATAACCGTTAAATTGATCGGAATTGTACAGTAAATCAGGATATCTTCATAGTTCAAAGAGTGACTGCAATTCGCGAATAAACGGCACCACTATTGCATGGTGACGCTTAGCTGACGTTAACCATTCCGGACGTTTTATTTCCACGAACGTGTAAAATACTTCATGCATCAATAGCCTGGATGCATCTCTGTCGTTGCACTCTTGAATGTGTTTTTATAGTATAGAAAGATTCTGATGTGTCAACCTATCAGACGTACTTCTGTAAGGCCTTACGGGATTACCATGGAAAGTAGGGAACAGATATGCTTCAAACCAAAATACCGGTCAACGATCTAAGAGTTTGTAAAGAGAAGGCAAGGCGTTTATTGGGTGGGAGTAAATGTCCAAAATAGAGATCGGAAAGCTGAACGGTTAAGAATCATGGAAAGGAAGGTAAACCGGACCAGGCTAATGCTAGGCCAGCCACAATCGTTTTGTTACACGCTTGCGCATCAGTGAATTTCATTTTCCAAAGACCTACTGTACGATAAAGGAGAATCCACAACCGCAACCATAAGTCTTGGGTTGAAAACCACACCAGTCAGGTGTGGCGATGATCAGGATGACAACAGGTCACTGAGTACAAACTAAGTGCCCCTTGGTGGTAGGATTCAAAGGATTTACATATGCTGTGTCTAGAACCTATACCACTCGAACAACACCGGCTTCTGAGTATGCAGAATGGTGATAGACAGAATTCACTGCAGCCACCGCCCCGGAGGTATGCTGTGCTGCAACCGAATAAGCGTGCTGAGTCATAGTGGACATGTCGAAAGATGTCTTATTCTGTTGTTTGATCATCTTAGCCATTTCAAAATATTTTCAGTGAGCTACGTACGCAACTGCCGGAGGAAGTGTTTGGTGTGGAAAAGATGATTTTTCTATAGCCGCAACAAGTGTCTCGGAAAATACAGAAAAAGAAGTGTCATCATTTCCTTCTGAATAAATCAATCTTTGTTTCTTCTGCTTTTTCGGCTGTAAACAACTAAATGCTACATATGATGCAGCCGATCACCGCATGTTATAAAAGTGTCTGATCAGAAACTTTGCAGGCCTTTTCTGTGAATTGATTCTTGAAAATATTCGACAACTGCTTATACATATGGACTGGTTTGTAGTTTTTCCACCTCACGACCACTTTGTATAGTACCCTTCCGTAGCTGTTTCTTACGGGTAGTGTAAAAATTACCCTCTTGTAATTTGTGTTCTTATTAAATTCTTACTTGGCCTACTCGTGAGCGGTGTGTACATGTGTCAAGCACGTGTTGGATGCGTTTGTGCTTTGCCACATCAGTGGCGCTTCCTGATCGATCAGGAAGGGACTTTTGTTTCGCACAGTCTGACTGGTGCAAGAGGCTTCATAAACCTCCGAGGAATCAGCAATATTTGAGATTTCCTTGTTGCATGCTGTAACAATATACTGATTACTTTTCCCGAAGAACTAACTTTTGGCATGTTGGCAGCGGAAACTGATGTAAAAATGCCCATATAAAAGACACGAACACACAATCGCTTGGAGACCTACCCACCGGCGCACTTGGTGACGGTAGACACGGGTCGCTTGACTGACCACTGAGGGCTGTGCCGAAGGCAGTATGAAGACTTTCGGACATTGTCGGCGCATGAAGAAGTTGAATTCGTCAGAATCGCATGGTATGTACAAAATAACATCAGACACATGCACGGTGCCGAAGATGGAGTGTCATTTTTGTGGCAGACAACGCTTCCCAGAGAGGCAACTATCTAGCCCAGGGAAAACCGTGTTATAACTACAAGAAGCGCAACAGTCTCCCATCGAAATGTTTCCTCAGGCGAACAGTGGGTAGAGAACAAAACTATCGCAACATAGCTCGAGTGAATAGGATGCAAATACCGGCGAAGCGAACGGGCATCCTTGCAAAACGTTGGTGAAAGAAGAGGTGAATTTCCAGTTAGATACGGGAGCAGCTTATCTCGAAGACCTCACTGCCGGCATATTACGATTGCGCCCTACATCTATGCGTACAACATGATAGCAGTCAATATGGCTTAGGAGCTCTTCTTTTATAGAAATGGACTCTCACTTGATCATCGTATTAGAACGTTAACAAGTTGTGGACAGAAATATAGGCAAATCAGCAAAGAACCACTGGCAGTTGTGTGCGCTCTGGAAAAGTTCAGCGATTACACTTTCGACTGACTAACGCGTAGATATTCAGATCACAAGCAGTTATTCATGATCTTGGATAAGCTGCTAAATCAAGCACCAAGAAGACTTCAGTTGGTACTAATACGTCCCCGAAAGTATGACTACGAAATACATTATCAACAAGGAAAACAAATGTTCATAGCTGATACACTCACGAGCCACACTACCGAGTACGGAAGACAAACGCAGAAATGAAACGATGTTCATTGCATTGGCGGTTACAGAATCCAAATTGCCCCAAATGCAAAATGCCACAACAGGAGATCCGTGTCTACCGTCTCTGGAGGAGGCTATCACCCAAAGGTGGCCTGAAGTCAAGGGGGTTCTGTTAGCAGAAGTATCACCTCATTTTAAATTTTGTGATGAGCTTACATCAGAGAATGAACCCCTCTTTTTGAGGTGAGCTTTCAGTGATCCCACAAGCTTCTCGAAAAGATACTCTGTGCACACAAGTATCAATGGAAGTATCACCCAAGCCAGGGAATCATACTGTTGGCCAGGTATGTCAGAATAGGGTAAACAGATGGTAGTAAAAAGCGAACCACACTGACATTCTGATTAACGGAAAACGACAGAACCAACGGAGATGCGCTGAATACCTGACCGGATTTGGCCATATGTGGTGTTGGATATCTTTTACCATGGGAAGGACAGTTACCTAGAGACAACTGACTACTACCGTGATTTCTTCGAAACCGACTTTCTGAGAACAAAACGACTGCAGAAATCATCAACAAACTGCGAGTCAACTTAGCACGACATGGAGTCCGGATTCGAGTGATTTCCGATGGTGACCCTCAGTTTCGCAGCACGGCATTCCTACGATTCTCGGAGATGTGGCATTTCAATCATCACATCATCAGTCAGTCCAACGATAAAGCAGAGAACACTGTCAAATGGCCAAAAAAGATAATAAAGAAGTGCAAGGCTAGGTACAGCCATTTCTATATCACTCTGCTTGAGCTTCAAAATATGCCTTATGCAACGGTAGGAACAAGTCCGAAGAAACTCCTACTTGGAAGACGGACGTGCACAACCCTACTAGTTTATGCTGGGCTACTGGATCCAAATGTCGCAGCGCATTCAGTAATCAAACTGAAGCCGGAGAGGTGAATGGTGGTGCAAAAGTATTTTACGAGCGGGGCTGCAACCCGCTGCATCCACTCAAGACTGGTGACACAATCTGGATTCAACCAATTGAACCGACAGAAAAATCCTAGGCAAAAGAAAAAGTTACTAGTGCGCGTAACAAAGAAATCATACCTAATACGCGTTGGAGGTTGTCGGATAAGGAGTAACAGGGTGCATCTGAGAAAATCGGAAGAAGGCAGTAATGAAGAAGGGCTAAACAATGGGGACGACAACGAAGGTGAGGAGGAGGAAACGGAAAATTTGAGCAAGTGACTGAAGCAGATAGCACTACACAATCGTCCGGCGGAGACTGACATTCACTGTCTAGAACTCGGAGTGGGCAAAGTTACCAACCAATATGCAAGTAGGAGCTTCTCAAAACAGGAAGTATGTGTTGGATGTGCTTTTGTTTTACCACATCAGTGGCGATTCCTGATTGGTAAGGAATGGACTTTCGTTTCGCGCATTATAAACCGAGCAATCCGGTTGGTGCAAGAAGCTTTATATACCCCGAAAAATCAGCTATGATCAAGATTTCCATTTTGCAGGCTGTAACTGATTGCTTCCCCTGAAGAACTGGATTTTGACAGTAAACCTCTAATATTCATATACTATTTCCTCCGTTTCTAATGCACTGACCCAGTTCATGTTTACTTTTTGTGATGTATATTGCATGAAAACTAATTTATATTCCTGGCTCTGATGTCCTATGACAGCACATTTCCGTTGTAAGAAAACCTAGCTGAACGCTTCATTTATGCACAAAACTGCCCTCCGGAGACTTGAACTTCCGACCGCAGACCCTGTGCCAGTGTACTACACCGTGAAACCATCGAGCACTCACGCGGCACAAACAGAACTACTACCGAGTCTATTCGTTGACACTCCTCTTCAGTCGTTTTCCAGGTACAACAACTTGTACTTTGACATTATCAATTCCTTTGTATATTCTGACTACAAATCATTTTCTCATTCTGTGACTGGAGCAATCATTTCATGTTAGCTAGAATGCTTCTTGATTTTTTGCCTCTACCGTGGCCGTGTTACTCTACAGTTTCGTTTGACTTCTTTCTGAGTTGACCGTTTATGACTGCACTGTCCGGATTCACGGGGTAGCTTTCTGTAATGTTGTTCTTGGTTGCTCACCTGGCTGTAAGTCATTTGCCCTAATGTATTCATATATGTTATATTATATAGGATGACGAAATCGTGATAAACACAGTTATTGGACTTTGTTCTGCTGCCCATAACCTTGTACAGTCCATATCGTGCGTAAATCTAGTGAGACTAGGTTTCTGCTAGACTGACGACTCAGGTAATTGGGATAGTTTCCATGGGTAGCCACCCGTTGACTGTAAAGCGGATAGCCTGTTGATTAGGTTTTCGAGTCAGAATCGTTTACGCTTCGTAGTAGTCACACTGGAAACTTCATGGATGTTCACTGTTTATAACCTTTAGTAAGGTGAAATAGGTGAAAATGGTTCTTGTATTGTTGAGCATTGGTACTGCCTAATGAGTTATATGCTGGTCATATACTAAATGATCAAAAAAAAATAACTAGTCCAACTTATTTTTAATTATTCTCTGTTTATGTTGAATCTGCTCTGATTTAAAGTAGTTTTAAAGTGCATGACCATAATACAGTTACCTGAAGTTACGCAGCAATTGCTTAGATAAGTGTCTATTGCTAACTGTTCCACTTCAATGGGGACATAAACGGTCTAGGAAGGTTTGCAGCACTCTGTCGGTCAAAGCTGATCAAGAGCAGAATCCACAGAGAAGACCATTTTCATGCACCTGGTGTACACAGGCCGATAAGTAAACATGGGTTCGGAATCCCAACAAAGACATCTATCAACACACACCAGCCACCTCGGAGGTGATTACAGTCCATCTTTGCGCGAAGGCTCTGTGCACACAGAACAAGACTCGTCCAAGCCCTCCAACTGCTCATCCGATTGGCTCATATCCGAACAGTGTGACTGTCACGACCTAGTTGTTTAGATCAACGTGTCACTATAAACCCACAGTTCCACAAACAATTGCAACATGACCAGTGACGCAATTCAACACACCCATCTCCAAGTATGATCTGTACTGGCAAGATGGCGAATAACTGAAAACAACTGCTTACATCTGAACTCCTGTTCTCATGTCACTTTGTGCATATTCCAGAATCTAAGTCAGCCATTCAGCTGTTACAATTTCCCATTGATTTTTAGTAATTAAATATACAATTTCCTTTGAGAAAAACTGAAACAAATTTTTTCAAGAAAAACTACCTCGAACTGCCTCCATAACGACGTAAACTTGTGACTTGCGTTAGATTTACCAAAAATTATAAATATTAGTTAGTAGAAAAATATCCTCCCCACGGTGTCATACGTAAAAGTTTGAATGCGTATTTTGCTTTCCCCTTAGGAACGACGGGGATACCTAAACGGGATGGGCTTTGCAATTCCAGAAAGGAGGATTGACACGGCATAGAAGCAATGCATTATGGAACTTGATTCAAAAAACGTTCCTAGGGCTTCTCCGATTGTTAGTTATCAAGCAGAATATATGAAGTCTTCAGAAACAAAATGACTGAGATTTTGATCTCTTAGAAACTTGTCATGTTCATTCTAACGAGATAAGACTTTAGATGACCTCATTTGCATCAAGATACTGTGACGAGCGGGAGCAGGCACAGTGAAACACCGGTTATTCTTAACGGTTACAGGGCAAATCTCTTGAGGTGACAGATTATTCTACGTCCATCAACTAAATGAAATAAACAATGTCTGGGTTACTGAATACCAAATCAGTCATTTTCCTCTCCCCAGTAAGTAAATCGAGTTCTAGTTTGTCTCATTTGGTTTTTGTGCCAGTCTGCTGAAATATACTTAAGTAGTCATTCAAGAAGATGGCTAATATTTCAATGACTTTGAATATTTGTGTTGGTTGTAGGTCAGGTTGTTGGTTGCCATGATGTTCTGATAGCTGAGCTTGGCGTTCAGATCGCAAACGTTTCATCACCAGTCGAGGTGACGTCGTCAGTGCATGTGCATGCACGTCATGGCAGGTAGCTAATATGCAAGATAAATTTAAGGATGAAGCCTAGGTAGATCACTGGAATCCCGTCTCGCGAAACCTCTCATGATCGTTACAGCTCATAACACACGAAGAGGTAACTATGCTAAAACAAAGTAACCTAGTTTCATCACTGTAGCTGTTGTCATAATAATTCCCTGATACAAAAGGTTGTCACTTGCATTCACCGTTCTGTTGTTCACTTTATTCCGCTCACGTCTTCTTTCATTAAAAATTGATTCAAAAGAACTAGTTACTCGCCATTTTTAATTGAACGCCTCATGTTTATCCAGGGCCCAAACAATGTCGGTGTTCTGAGGAAACACTACGCACTATTTCTCATTTAGTTAAAAAAAACTCTTCAGTTATTTGTGCAAATTTATGTACTACGATTTCAAGTAAATTTCACAATAACTTTATCTGCAATACTTGGTCTAACAAACTCATAGATTGTTTTGTTGGCATGAGGAGCTTGGATTTTTGATAGTAGAAAATCCGACGCTATGAGCCCGCTAACGGCTTTCAACTTTTGTATGTAAACAAAGCAAGTGAATTTCCCGTTATCTAAAATACCCAATTTAAACTCACTGTTTTTGTCATCATCGTTCTTGTCCATGAATTTTTCCCCTTTTTATTGTTGTGATTACAAGTGAAATGTGTTCCCGCATAATGTGCATGCTTATCTCTTATATCTAACTCCCCGTTTTCCCAAAGATTGCGTGCCAGAATTTCTCCCATATGATGCTGAAAACTTTCCCACACATTTCCCACCCTGTCACGTTCCCGAACCGATCAAAATGAAAGTACTTTTTGCCTGTAAATATTGTCGTTATAAACGACATCTTGACGAAAAAAGGAAAACGGTTACCAAAGGAAGGCTTGCAGATCTGAGGTGGGAGAAGAAGGAGGAACAACGTAATACTTTTCCGCGTGAGGTTAGTCTTAACGTCTCCCAAGGTTGAAGTGAACAAGATTGCTTTCCCTTTGAATGCACATTTGTGTACAATTCGCATTTGAACTAGTTGACAGCCGAAGAATCAAAGAAATTTGTTTAGGCTGAGTGAGTGCTGGGGACATCTTATTACAACACAAATTTTGGTTTCTTTGAACTCCTTAGATTGTGGTTGTCAGTTTACAACGGTGACAACCGTTTCCAGTCGTTTAGCTTACATATACAAACGCAGGTCATAAGCGGTAACCTTGGAGATGGAGAAGATCCGTAGACGGGCACGGTTGCCTTGGTAGTGACAGTGGTAGCCCTCCAGTGGTAAGACGGATTGAAGCTGGTATCGCCCCTTGTTCCTTTTGCAATGGACCAAAAGGTAACAGATTATCCTACAATATAATTCGGTTTTTAAGTCAATAAGATGAGTAAATTAGGCATTTCGTCGAGTCGATTATTATGACACATAAAGTAAGAAAAATAGTCACCTCGCGCTTGGATTGAACGGCGACGAACTCATTGAAGATTTTCTGTGCCTTGCTTTGCAACTTCTTTGAACCACATCGGTTGCGGAAATCTTCACAAGTTAGCCAAAATTCAATGTTCTCGTCACTGAACTCAGTGCGGAGAAATTCACGGAACAATAGGATACCGGCTGTTATGATGGGTCCCAGATAGGTGAGGTAAGTCAACGTGGTTGGATTGAGGAGCAGTGGGGTAGAGGCCGAGGGAGGGAGGGCGGAGCAACATAAGAGACGGCACGTAATCATATGCTGACAGTTGACTCGTTTGCAGGATTAAAAGTGGAAACTTTCACATGCGTACAATGGAGTTTAAAACATAGTAAAAAAGATCAAAAATGACTGAGACCAAGTGTTTTTCGTATCAGTAGTTTGTGTTATAGCATCATACTTTGTTACATTCGTTTTTGGGTGTGCGTAGTACATTTGCATTTTCCGTCCACTTGACCGTAAATATTTAAAGCAGCCGAAATTAACCCAACGGAAGTTTCTCGAATTCGGTGTTTCTTATGTGCACCTTTGGACTTCTCTAGGTCCGGGTTTTTACAAAAGGTCAAATTTGAAGTTTTTTTTATGAAGTCGCCGTTTTCGGTTTGGGTAACGGTTCACTCCTAAACGGGATGCGTTCATTTTTGTTTCGAGTGCCTTCTATACACATTTCTTGATAGCCCCCTGGTTGTAGGCTCATCAATAGACCGGACAAGACTCAATATGGATCAAATGAAAGTTGCACCTTTGCTGTTTCACACTAACACCTGCTTTGGTATAAAGAAAAACAGTGCTCTGGAGAATTTCAGTGGGTCTACCTTAAAATGTCGCGATTTATGCTTTAATTATTATATTGGATACTAGGGTGCAGAACGGATCATTATGCCTTTGTCCATTAGTTCACATATAATATTCATGTGCAATCAATCAAATGTACTACTTCTGCTGTATTACTAGAACGCACCTCGGACCTACGTATTTCTCAGAATCAGGAGTCTTAGTGATCTAATTAAAACGACTAGGTTATTCTAAGTTCATTTCTCGGGTAAAAGTTTGGGCTAATTTTTCGTTTCTGTGTATAACAATTGAATGAAAGTTGCTACGGTAGGTTATTGCAAATGTATATCACCCACCTAACCGACAATAAATGAAACGTTCCTCGGTTGGCAACTCTTGAATTTGAGAGTTGCATTATCTGAGCGATAAATTATTGCCACGTTGATGGCGTATTTTTGCGTCGTTCTGTCGCTTGATATCTAAAATTTATGTTCCTGATTGTATCATACAAGCTCCTTTTTATGATTTTTCTTTACTTAGCTTTTGTTTTTATTTTGGTCAGCTGAAGTAAAAGAATAAAAACACTTTCGGTGATCAGTAAAGAATCACAGTTAGAACAAAATCGAGGTCGAATGTTCAGACTTTGCTTCTCAAGTCAAAACAGTTTTTCAGGATATTTAGGTGAATATCCTGTTCGCATAATAAGGACACGTATTTGACAAACTTCCGCCCACTTTGTTTCTATATAATTCCCAACTATTTCTAAGGATTTCGCAATTTTATACACATGAGCTACTTCAAAGTTCATCGCTCGTGTTGCCGCTCATCTCCTTAGCCCTGACCTTAACATATTCAAAAAAGAAAGCTTATTTCATTTCATGATGGAAAAGCACGCTAAGCCCAAGAGATCCACAGAAGTGACTTCAACTGACTGAACTATTTCTGTTTTGCGTGCTCAGATATATAATAGTACATTTGCATACGTTTAGATTTATTTATATCTACCTGTTAGAGTGAACGGAAAGAAACAACTGGACAATCATTCAGGTCATGATTCATTTAGCATTTTATACGGAAAATAAGAATATTTTGACGAAAGGAAACATTCTGAAAGCTGTATTATTTGACATTTCGTATTCTTATAACTCAGTTTAGCAAACATTATAAGTAGACACGCTGATGGTTTTTGTATTACGTAAGTTCGACGTACTACGAGTGTTTGGAATCCCGTCCGGATGAATCTACTCTATACCCAACGGGGTTCAAGTCACTAATAAAACTCGATCGAGATGCAGAGTAAATGGTGATTCCTAACAGGTTCGAAAAGACAACTTTACATTGCCCCCGTGGAACTATTGATTACCTAATGAAATTAGGCAGAAAATGGAAAAACGTGGCGCCATCCATTAAACAAGGATTCCGGTTGGTTGCTTTACAAATAGTCTATGACGGACTCCGTGCAAATGAATAGAAAGCGAATTCCTTCGGATTACGAAATAATAACCAGAACACTAGTTATTGACGAGTATTTCCCGGTGATTTTATTCGTCGTCTGCCTAGAGAGTTGTCTTCCACGTCCAACGTCACATACTCAGGACAATTAGACTGCGATTACTGGCACTTAGTGTGAATAATCCCAAAATAAGGAAAACGTAACCTCTTACTGCTCACACTCAGTTATTGGTCAAACCGTCTACGTTGGTTAACGGAACACGTTTGTTGTACTTGAACCTCCAGATAGAAGTCGTCCGTCACAGGAGTCGACTTATGCACGGGAAATCCTCATCTTCTGTTCAAAGCTAACAGCTAAAGGGTACTATATCATACAGTGTGTAAGCTCAATAAACTTTTGAGAGCCAGGCCGGATAGCCTTATGGTTGGGTTTTCGACTCACAGTCGTTCACCTAAGTTCGAGTTCCAGTGGGGCTCGGTGGATGTGAATTGCTGACAACGAGAATGAAGCAGCTGTACAATACCCCCATGGTTTTTACTAGTGAGCCGAGCGTTCAAAGTGTATGATAATTCATATTGCCAACGGCAGAGGTGAATATAATCCGCTCGTCAAAGTCTGAGCTTTTCTGGTTTCAAAGTTAGTTCAAGCACTCCAAAGTCCCAGGGCCTACAGTTAGCTGTGTCCTACATGAGCGCTGCGGGGACATGAAATAATCGTTTATCTCTGTGTAATGCTTTCACCCGCTAGGGTTTCTTTTTTGAAGTTGACTTATCTGTCCTTCAACCCACCCCACCCGTATCTCTCCATGCCGAGTTAGTGAGACATTTGTTCCAACTCGTCCCATTTATTACGTGATTATCATGATATGGAAAGGGAATCACCGAAAACATATACTTGCCTCTAACCTGTGTTCGGATGAGAAGATGGTTCGGAATTATGAAATCATCCTCAGACTTTTGTCGCACGGAAAATCAGGCGTGGAGAAACCGAGAACTTATATAGATCAAGAAGGCATAAAATTGTGCAGAGCAGACTGGACGAACGCTTTGCTTGAATAAATGAATGCCTAAAATTGATCAGTGATAAAGAAGAGATGTGCTACGAAATGCCGGGAGACTAATAAAGCATCAAACTAGAGTGCTGTTTTCGAGGTCAAACGAGAAAGAAATAGCTAAACAAAAGCACTGTATTTCGAAGAGCAGGGAGGGAGAGCAGTGGAATTTTGAGTCGTTAGTCAATTATGTATTCGACGGCTGCGGAGCGTGAATTGCATTTTGGTCCATGGCGATTTGGTACTAAACACATTAGGTGAGTATTCGAATGTTATGATGGACAGGCTAGACAAAACTATTTCTGATCGCATTTATCGTGTTTCCAAGTTTCTTTCAAGGTCGGGACAATCATAGAGAGAGCCTTGTAAAGTGTCATAGTTTCCTGCTGTTATGATGCCAACGATACACAAATATTTGATTGAACCATAAAGAAGATGTAATTGTTTCAAAAATACTGAAGGATTTAAATCATATAGAGGAGGAGCTTCGATGCGGTTGTACTAAGGCTAAGTAGGAGTCCTTATCTCATTGATTATGGAAGACGAAGATAATCAGTCCAAGATGGGCTAAATACAAGGGAATTTTCCATTATCTAGATAAGTGTGGATCCTTATACTGTTGATAACTTACAAAGTTACATCGAAACTTTGTAGCAGAACACATACAACATTTACATTATGTTTCAAGTTTTACAAGCAGTTTTGGCTGGACTTCTTTCCGTAGAATGTTTTCAGATAAAACAGTGTTCCCCTCCACAATATAATCCCAAAGTAAGTATTGAAGTCACAGCTAACGACTCCGAAAAAGCCATGTGCAAAAGCCATAGAGTTCTTTTTCAAGATTTTTGATGATAAGCTCTGAGTGTCCAAACTACTTGATGAAAAATTCTATGAATATTCTAGGCGCACAGTTATTCGGAGCTATGTTATTCTAGATGTTCTTCCTTGGGTCTTTACCGGTTAGAGATGGACTTAAAAAAGGGAACGTAGTAGGAAAAAACATATCCTCTCTAATTCGTCTATTTCGTTTTGTCCGCTGATAACCACCTAGGACTGGCATCGCTTCAGATTGATTCATATTTCGGTTGCCGTTGGAAACTGTTCACCGGGCAAGAAGTAAAGAGACTAATGTTGAAATACCAGAAGCTATACGTTTTACAATAAATCAACAAAATATGCCTTTTTGATGTTAATGTAGGACTTTTATACAAAAGGCGACACTTACCTTTATCGTAGAGTATATTGGAAAACGATTGTCCCCAACGCTCAACCTCGGCAAAATTGGGTTTGTTTGAACCAAAAATCTTCTGTAAAACAATTCGATAGCTGTTCTGATTTGGATTCATTGATTGATGGTTCGGAATTGTATTTGAACTACCAGTTTTATGGAACAGTTTGTCCCGCATTTCCGCGGTTCTACAGGTGTGCGTGAGAATGAACGACGTGGTTTGTTATCAACACGTGACTGATTGTGTAATATGTAACGTACGAAAGCAAAAGGGGCTAAGTAAATTGTAGAAGAGAAAACGCTTTTGCTTCATATATTTTGCGGTAATTTCTGTCTTATCTTTGAATGTGGTTGAACTTATTCCATTCTACAGATAAAGTCGATTGTGACGCATTGGGAAATTTAACTGGTGCTTAGTTCAAGAGTTGCCGTCTGGGCAAGTTATATTAGAGCACCAGGTAATTATAATAATTAAGTCAAATTTTACTCTCATTTACGTTGATTGTTTGTTGCTCTATGGGTAGATAAGTATGCCTGACCTTGGCTGCCAAGGTAAAAAGCTGTGAGTAAAAATATTAACATTTCAAAGCTTCAAAAATAAGGGTCTAATAGGTAGTGAAGTTAGCCATAAAAACATAAAGTTATTTTTTACGATAAACCGTTTTTTTGATGAGGACATTTATGACTATATAACTATAGATTTGAATTAAGCAACTCGTGGTGCTCAGGTCATCATCATTATAGACCATAAACTCTGGCGTCCCGGATTCGAGTATAATCTCCACCATCGGTCATTTCTCCGATCGGGCAGCCTCTAGTTGATTATGGCCCATTCCAGAAATATCATTCTTTGTTGTTTATTGGATACAAGAAGTAAAGAATTATTTTTTCATTTGGTAAGTGTTCATCAAGCCAATCTACAGTATTCAGCTGAAGTGACGTTCTTGGAAAGAAAGTCTGCTGTGAAAGATGGTCAATCTACTGGTTAGTTGGTGGATGCGATGCCGCAGATGATAGTGAGGTCTTTGATGTTCAAGAAGGTCCCGCAGACCAATTGTTTAAGTATGAAGTGCATAGACTAATGTACGGTTTTGAACCTCAGAGATATCGACGAATTTAACTATTTGGGTCGGCTGCGGTCAAACGACTATCATCATGGACTTGGGACAATAACGACGCAGGTTCGATTCCTGTCACCTTCAGTCACTTTCCCATTTGGCAGCCTTTTATTGGCCGTGGTTCTTCCCGAACAGTTTTACGTTGCATAATACATAAGAAAGAAAGTACCGAGGGTATTTTTGTGTTTTATGACTCTTGATGAGTCTTGCTTGAGCTTATTCTGTATTTAGTGCACAAGTGAACAACATCTGCCGGCACTTCATCACAATTTTATATACCTATAAATCAGCCGACACGTTAAAATGCAGAAGTTTTACGATCACCACAAACAGTAACGGCGACTTGCGTGACAGATTCTCCAGAGTGACTAAGGACGAAATGGGTTTTACCTTTCACTGATTCTGCAGGTGGTATCAGTTCCAATAAATTTACTTCCACGAGTGAGCGCGAACAAGGCTAAACGGATAAACTCATTGTTCACGATTGAATGCAAGCAGAATGTTATTCACTTTTCCATCCACCGAAGTTGCGGATTGTCAACTGGCAGTTTTAAACTGGTTTTATTTGATACGTAAAAAAATATTTGCAGTGGTTTTGAACACTGGTGTTGCAGCTGTAGCTCCAACTGATGGCTTGCATAAACTCACAATTGCTGGGGTTGGTGTTTTTCAATTGACCAGGATAGATATTAAATGAGGTAGACTGCAACCTTGTGTCTCACAGTTATTCATCGAGTACGGGTTTGTACTGTCCAATTTATTTATTCGTTTCACCGGCTGAATTTACTTCTGTTTGATCTATGGACAACTATACTTAAGCATTTATTTATCTGCCAAAAAGAGTCAGATCGTTCGCTACTACTACTACCACCTATACTACAACTATATTAACAATATAATTACTATTATTATTATTATTATTATTATTATTATTATTACCGTTAATATTGCATTTATTCGGTTACAGGTGTTTTATAAAGCCCAAATCTTGCTTAAGTTGGAAGACAACGATCAGATATTTGAGTAATATTTTGGAATTCCCACCTAGTATTATGATTTACATGATAAAATGTCAATGGTCTGTTTCCTTGAAAAGTCTATCTTCCTTGTGTACCAAATTATTCGGTTAGTGAACACTTAGAGAGGGATTTCGGAGGAGAAATTCATTTGAATGCTTGTTGCACATTTAAGTAGCAGTTACAGAAATTGAACTGTTTACCTACGTATTAATCATGATGACGCTTTGTGTAATGTGTGCGGCACAAGCTGGTGTTACAGATTCAGTTGCCTCAGCTGAGGACTGATAGCATTGCATAGGATAAATGAAATGATAATCGATTATTTTATGTAATCTAATCACTTACAGCATGAACATTAAAGATACGCACTGATACACACTCGTTCGTTTTCTTGTGTTCAGTTCCATTTGTTCCACAGACCACACAAGATATCAAATTCACTAATAAAAAATCACAATTACTCTTTCAAATGAATATAATTGTATAGGACTGAGACTAAATTATTAGATGGTATATACCTGTCTATTCTTGGTTTTGATCTTAGCATTAGGCTTGAATCATTTTGTTGCGATCTTCGACAAGAATTCTGGTGCCTCCGAATTGCATGTATGTTTATCTATCCTAATCTTTACCTCAAGCGACGGTGTTTATTATGAAAACAAGTGTTTTTAAAGCTTCGTCCTTTTAAGCGACTTATCCACCCAAGAACTTGAAATAAATGTGTGTGTTTTACTGCCTGGCATGAGTAAGTGATACCAGCTGTCAAGTAGTTGGCATAAGATCAATTCTTCGTACTTCACTCAAGTTGTAGCGCAAGTTGCACATTAGATATCAAAAACTGCACGTTGTACAATTCAGTTCTAGTATGAGTTACTCCCCGCTGTTTACCATATTTTTATTCTAAACGTTTTAGTAGTATAAAGCAAAAAACAATGCGTAATTCATCAGTCTCAGTGTTTCCCATCAGTGAGCCATTCTGAAGGCTTGAGCTGCGGTTGCGGTATCGAAAAATTCATACCAAGCCTCATTAGCTCTTAATTTCCGTTTCACTTATGGTCATGTTAGTTTAGATAAGTTTTTTTCCTAATAACATTATTTTCTAACCAACAATATCCACTTTCGATATGAGTAGTATGGCACTGTATCTGGATGACAGGACAAAATTTCCCAAATACAGTGCCGTACTACTCATTTTGAAGGTCCATACTTGGGACCACGTGTCCTCGTTCTGAAGGTTAGCCGTGTTAACGGACGAATCATCTTTGGAAGAATCACCGTGTGATTCTAAAATGGACTCTCCGTCCATACACGCTCCATTCCATTGAAATGAGATTACAACTGTAAACCTATGTATCAGCTGAGTTTTACGTATCTGGCAGTTTGTCCCTTTGATTTAATTGAGTGAGATTTTGAAAGAAGCCAGACCAGAAATATATGAGTTCTCTAATGTGTGTTCCGTGTGAAGAACAGTGTTGTATGTTGTTTGTAACGAACGCGATGGGAGGGACTCCTCAGGAACACCTATGATTGTTTCATAACATTCCAAGTTAATTGGTGACAAAAATATTGTCGGTTACCTACGTCATAAATGAGTTCGACATAGAAGTTAGCACAATTGGACCCAGTGATCAACGGGTGGATTAAGAATATAATTGAAAGTGAGGATTCGTTCTGTTGCATATAACATAATAGCAATGTTTTCTTTGCGCATCAATAACAACTTAGTTTGTGGATGTGTGCAGCAGAAACCGGAGCTTTTGATCCAAAATATGCATTACTCACACTAAACACAAACACACTGAATAAAGCTAAATCACAAATTGAGAATGACGAATCGATCAGCCAAGTTAGGTAGTTCAGTCGTGCTTTACTAAATGACAGTTCTCAAGAAGTATCCGCAATGATCGCCATGCGATCACTTTGATGTCCAGTTGTGTCCAGCTGGCTTCCCGTTTTGTGCTGTTATCTGCTGCCAACTATATTCACAATCAATAGGTTGCTTGAATGCAGTCAAAAGTCATTCATTCGAGTCGGTTATCACATTTGAAGTCAATTCGGTTTCTTCAATGTCCCCTTTCTACAGGTGGGCTAAATTATCCTCACTTTTTCAGTTTTGTTAATGAACTGTAGTTATATACAATAAAACAAACATTCCCAACTTTTTTTTCGGCCTCTGATCCAAACGAGACAGGTGGAATTTGGTTGGTGTTACGTTTTCAACAGATGAGAAGGATAAATCAGCTTGCAAAAACGGTACCGGGAAGTTAAACTAAATCTAGAGTAGAGTGTAATTTCTTTGGAAATTCCGACTAATCTAAATATATATATATATATATATATATATATATATATATATATATATATATATATCACCAAACAGGTCCACTGTAGATGTTGTCGCTTCCGAAGTCCACGATATGACCAAATCTTTGAACGGATCATCGAAATCTGTGCGGTGAGCGTTCTTAGACTACTTACGCGTCTTTGATTCTATTTTTCATCCCTCCAGTTCGGTGAAATTGAAGCTTTTGTTTGTCCTCTGCCCCTGTCATTATGGTTCCGTGATTATCTTACCAACAGAACTCAGTATACACGAATGGGCTTGAAAAGGTCTACACCTTCTGGGAATAGTCCGAAAAATGCCTCGGAACACTTCTGAAAAAAGTAAGTTGGTGAACAAACTCGCATTCATTATAATCAGTTCCGTAGCTTCGTACCACGTAAATTGAAAAGAAATTTTATTATAACGAATAATATGGGCCCAAGATGCCATCTATGATCACCTACCAGAGGTGTACAGTATCTAAGCTCGGAACGGATTCCGGGTAACTTTTATCTACCGTATGATGCCGATGAGAAGAAAAATTCCAAGACCATTGTTAAGAAAAAGCCATTGTGAATCTTTGTCATTTAGGGTGACGCATGAGCAAATGTACACAGGGGATTATCAGCATCGTCAACGAGATATCTCATGCTGCTAGGCTGTGTATTTTATTCACATATATATCAGCGGTGTATTTGCGGTTAAAATACGGCATGTGTGATTCTGTA